GGGGGAGTGGGGTGATGGGGTTCGCAATTTTTTTTGAGGCGCAAGCTCCCAAAAAGTTATATGCTGTTCTTTTTATCTACTTAAGCGTAATTTTTGTTGGAACATTCTCAATGTGCACCATCTGGGGGCGCAAGTTTTTAGGGGACGTGCGCTTTCCTCCCCCACCCCCACGTCCCCTAGATACGCCATTGTATTTTAGGAGGAGGGTAGAGCGAAAAAAAAACTGATTCTGGTCATTAAATATATTACATTCAATGAGATAGGGGTTGAATTCAAATAGAACGATTTACGTCTTGATTAATGGCGAGGAAACTAATAGTCTCACCAAATAAAACAGGCGCACAAATTTTAATTTCTTTTTTTTTTTTCTTTTTTAGTTTATATCGAAATTATCAGACCTTATCATGTATGTTACACGACTGGCAGGACCATGTGCCAACCACTTATATCATAGGTCACCAAATGTATATTCAATTACTTAATCTTCATTGTGGTGAATAATATTATAATGCTTACCTTTATCAAAACTACATTTTTTTTAAAGTGAGAGTTAAAATATCTGTATAACTTTAAAACCTATATAAATCATAGGGGTATACATAATGTGGGCCTTTGATTCCATAATGATTTGTTTGTGAGATTTAAAGTACAATAAAATACTAATTGGTGAATGTTCGTCATTTTTGTGTGATAAAGTTTAGTACATTCTATTATTAAGAATTTAATTTTTAAAAAATTGTCGTCTTGTTCTGCGCAGGTTTCCATCAAAATCTCATAGCGCCAAACCTTTATTTTGCAGAGGAAAATACATTAAAAATAAAAAACATTGAATATGTTAAGCCAAAAATATTAGTGCTTACTTTATAAATTCTCGTCTGCCATAAAATATCTTAGTATCCATAAAATTACGTTATATGCATGCATCTAATATGACCACAACGTAAGGAAGTCCACTCTTTAACTTCTAAGCAGAACACTTTGTCATCTAGCTTCAGACCCATATAAATTTATATTTCCTTAGGCCTAAATCATATTGGAGTCCACACATATAGTACAAAAAATTTTGATTGACTATCAACCTCATATAGGCCTATTCAAATTTTAAGAAATTACGTTTTATGCTGGCACCGAGTGACGTGGGAAAATAACCTAATGATTTTTATATGTAGACCTATATGTCTTATGTTGTTTGTTGAATGGTCGTCTTTAACATTACTACAGTCCAGTATGACCATAACATGTTTAGCATGATATAGTACTGAGAACTCTGACAAAAACCATAACTTGGTAATATTATAGGCCTATACATTGTTTTCTGTGATTGGTTGATTGCCAACTTTTCAATGCTTATAGTGGATATAACGCCTTGGTGGATGGACATAATGCTGAACTCTCATAATAATTTCATATTTCAAAAAAATTGTTCGGAGATATAATCACTTCACATGATAGATTACATCCACAGGTGCGCCAAAATCGAAAACATGGATAAATTACGTTTTTCCGAATCACGGCAGACTGAGTAGATAACTTTTTAAGATGTAAACAAAGATTTTATATATTTAAATCGCAGAAAGTCACAGATTAATATTGAGTACATTCTCGACTGTCATGGAAATGTTGACTTCGCATCACCCCACCCACTGGATATACGATATACGGGCCCGGAAACTTTACATTTTACTTGACAATTAATACAGTATTATCCATATAGTTCATTGTGACATAAATCAAAATAATAATAATAATAAAATACCTTTATAATTAATACTTAAAGAGACAATGCAAAAAGGTATTACATTTATTTTGTCTTAAATTTTTGTCTTTTTTTTTTGTCTGGCTGAGTTGCATTTCTATTAGAAAGAGTTGGAATTCGCCAGACCACCAGGCACAATCACTTTATATATTTAAAAAAAAATCATTTCTCACTCTGACCTTCACCTGCCCATGGGGTTACAATGAGAGTCACCAAAACTATAGACAAAATAACATTCAAATCAACATTTTTTGTCGCTTTTTTAACACACGATTTATGCCTCAAAATAGGCATTCTTAACAATATGATTGCTCCGTTGATGATCCTTTCATGAATTTACTCCTTTGGAAAATTCCTTCACCGACATATTACAAAGCGACTAAGAACCACGAGTCCATGTTCGCTTTTAACCATTACTACAAGTAGGCCTATCTGACAGTTTTAAAATCCAGGAAAGATTGTTGACAAATTCAAATGGGACATGTCCAACTAACAATGCCTCTTCATGACTTCCTTTGTACACACCGACGGAATTCTTGTCATACAAAAGTGCTTCGGCTCTCATCTTTAAAATTTTACCCATTCACCTCCATTGGTGTCCTTCATTTATAGCTTAATAATAACCCACTACTGTAATAGTAACCCATCCCACCCTTAAAAAAACAATCGAAGAATAGTAACCCCGGTTATAAAATGTACTATTCACTTTCTGACAAAAATTGAATTGTATTGACATTAACGTAATTGAATATTAGATATAGGCCTATATTCTGAAATTAAGCTCAATCTTAATATAATGCGTCTGCTTCAATTTACTGTGGTACTAAGTTGTATACAATTATATCTCAGCTATAAAACTGAAGATCGTGAAAATGGTGCTATATGTCCCTAAAGAAAACAAAAACAAACTAAAAATGATTTAATAAACACACATTAAAAACCATTTTTGCAATAAGTATTTAATTGCATTTTATTTTTCAAGACGGTGTAGTCGCTTTGATTGCGAAGTTCTTGTCCAGACTTTTGGGGATTCAGTCGAATACAACATTGTCATTCGTCTATACACATTTTCGGTATTGAGTAGCAATATAACGAGAAACAAAGAAAGTAGAAGGAAGCTGATCATCCAAGCATCATCTGAAACCTCGGGCTCATCAAATATGTCATCTACAATATAATTATAAATATTACAATATAATTATAAACAAAACAACAAATCAGCTTAAAGCTGGTTTTCCACTAGACGAATCAAAGCGTCGGTTCGGCTTCCTGAGCTTCGAAAAACTCCGATATGGATGTGAATGCGCATGAGCATGAACCGACGCTTTCGATTCGCGCGAATAAATTCGCCTTGTGGAAAACTGGCTTAACGAAGCCAAGTGATTGGTGTTATGGAGATTTCGCTCAACCACCCCGCTCCCAGTAGTAAACTCGGCCTCCTCACGTAGGCCTAACGTTCACTGTAAATTCAGTGCTCCAATAGACAAAATTCATTGAGTGGGGTGGGGGAGTATTCCCGTGAAGTTCGAAATTACTATGGGCTGCGTGAATTATCGGGCCTGTGTGTGTGATAGAGCAATATGGATATTTTTTTTTGGGAAATCGTTACATAATTTAAACAAAGACAGTAATAGGCCTATAAGAAATATTACTGGTTGACATAACGAGTTATTATAAACAGTATTGTTTATTGGAATAATTTCCTCATTAAAAAATAAAAGTAGATTGAAAAAATACACCATCCTTCGACGGGTTTTGGTTAACTTCTATAATATTCACAGTAGCGTAATTCATTTTTTTACACTTCATTATTTCAACCCAAAGTTGTTACAGTATTATATTTCAACAACGAAACGCATTACGTTATGTATTACAAAAATACTGTACATATTTAGTATTTCGTCTTGGTATTTTGCAAGTTTAACATTATTACATGTGTTACAAGGATGAAGTTAAATTTGTGGTTCACAAAACTCCAAAGCATAGGCTATCTAGCTATGTACAAACCTGCCAATTGATAACCATCACAACGTTGGCTCCAATACCCATCCTGCTGGTGGTCATCGCACGGGGGTCCCATTGTCCATTCTGATATCCATCCAGATGCTAACAGTAACACAATTGTTAAGAATATTAAAATAATTAATACTATTCTTGAAGTTACGTTATATCGTATTTCTTGCTGATATGTTTTACTCATAATTGTACAAAAGATACAAATACTTCAGAAAACCTTACCTTTTACATTCAATGTGCTTAAGAGAGCTATTTGAAATAAAAAGTCCATCTTAAAAAAAGTTTATTCACTGGTACCGATCTAGCTACTCGTCTCGAAAATGGACAAAATACACAAAACGTTTCCTAGTTACTATGACGCGCGCAAAGTTCTTCACACTCGCATGCGTACGAGACGCTCCATGTTGCTTGGTAACCAAAATGATATTGGCGATACTGTACAGGTATCTGGTAGGTAGGCCTATGTTTTCCATACTCTACGGTGAACTCATAAACTAATAACCAAAGTGAGATGGTGAATGAATGATTAGGACAATAACTATTATGTTTTGTTAAGAGTTTTGTTTCAAAATACAAGTTAGTTGCAACATGTTTTATAACAAGATCCTATAATCTTTAAAATACCGTATAGGCCTACTGTACCATAAATTGGTTCATATTAATCACAAGATTCTGTGAAAAACATAGTTACCTTGATCTGTTGCATTGGAAATGAATTATCCCATTGTTTTTAATGAATGAATAATTCATTTGTGTGTTTTCTTTTTTTGTTTTTTTTTACCAGCCGTTTTGATACATCGTTAAGAATGAACCCAATGTACAGTATACCTACCTCTGGGCGTGGGAGTATGCCACGGAGACTAGTCTGTAGCGCTGTACCTTGAAGAGTAACATTATTATGTACTTATCTGAACACTTCATAACAGTGAAATTTTTATATTTAATGTTAAATGATATAGATTAATCAGTCCTAATTCAAAGTACAGTATATGCAGTACTTTCCTGAAGAACCATGACCATGATTATGATCATGCTGAGGCGGATGCTGAGTGGGTGCAGAGGATGCGATAGCACCCCCGTAAAACGTATTAAGAAAATACAGTAATTGTATCAAATTGTTGTCACTTCATCCCCAACCATGCGGACGTGGTCAGGCATCGCTCAAAATCTTTCCAAAATAGGCTAGGGTGAAGGCCCCTTCCCCCCCCCCCCAAAAAAAAAGACAATTCAGGGGTTTCAAAGGCTTATTTAAAGTCAGGCTCCGGAGGAAAAACATTTTTTGATATGTTGTAGAACTGATTTTTCTAAGACAGAAAAGTTGTTTGACGAAAAACTGGGTAACAGTGAATGAGATACAGGTTTTTTAATATATCTAAAAACTGGTGGAAAAAGGGGCGTAACTGCCCATTTTTACACCTTATTCCCCCAGTTTTTAAATACAGTATTAAAAAGTCTGTATCTCATCCACTGTTCCCCAGTTTTTCGTCAAACAACATTTTTCTGTCTTAGAAAAATCAGTTCTACAACATATCAAAAAATTTTTTTCCTCCGCAGCCTGATTTTAATCGATTTTGGAGTCTACTATTACAGTATGTAGAAAATATTGTGCTGTACATATTTTTACTTGCTTGGTAGTCAATTTCACATAATACAGTACTTAATATACTTTCTGTGTGGGTGTGTGTGATTGTTGGCATGTGTGCTTACGTAGTGTAGATAGACATGGAGGAAAGAAATGGACCTCAATGTTTGAGATCTAAGTTTTAAGTCAAGCATACAGTAATTTGTTAAGAAAAAAAAATAAAACAATTTTAAGTCAAAAGGACAATTTTGGCATACTAACAATATTGATTGGTGAAATATTAGTGCAGCAAAACTGGAACAGCCAGACAACCATTGGTTGTGTATTATGACAATAGTTTATCTTATGGTACAGTATGTATCAGCACGTGAAAAATCCATTCTAGGGGCGGATTGCTATAAGCGGTCTATAGAGGTCTTAACGGTTAGCCGGCTATAATCATGACATCACAACTGTTACAGTACTATGATTATAGACCATTGCTATACCACGGTCTAACCAGTTAGCCATCTTAAATTTTAAAGCCTACTCGGAGGAGGCTTAAAACGGTCTTAAATCATTTTCGTCATGGCGTTCTGCTGATTAATTCAACAGTGCAATGGCAAGACCTAGGCCTAGATCATCAAAGTCGGAGAACTGAACGACGAATATTCCGCACGCTTTTCAGCGTCCGTAAAAATAGGTCTACGCATGACATTGATCCAAATCTTACGTTACTAGAGAGTGCTTGTTTGCGTTTCAATACTCAAAGCGGTCTTAGGGAAGACTGTTTTATAGCAATGGTCTTAGTGGAATGACTTTAGTAAGACCGTCTAAGTGATAAAGCCGGCTTTATTCGAGGAGTTAAGACTACCAGTTAAGACCGTTTTATAGCAATCCGCCCTAGGTTTGTATTGTCGATGCACAACCGAAAGTTCCCTAAAGTCAGGCACTCGCTACGTTGTACATCTGTTGGTCAACGAATCAAACCCCCCTTCCCCTGTGAGGGCTAGATGACACTGTCTGCTGATTGCTGCAGTCTGAACAAATCGTCATTAAAAACGATCCGTTGCACGATGTCATTAGCATTCTCCATAGAATCGCGTCAGACGACGACCTTCGGCACAGTAAGTGCCTGACTTAACAAAACAACATACAGGATTCTCAAATGACAACACGATACTTTTAAACCATTTCTTATTTTTCTACATTTTTTTATTTCTGTATTCACATTCAGGCAAAATGTTTAAGGTTCAAAACCGAGTCAGTGATGATATGCAACTGGAAATCGCATCCAGCATAGAGAGATAGCCAACATTGAGTAACAACAGTGTGTTTATGTACGTGCTGATCCGGTTCCTCCTCCTCCACCTCCGGCACCACCTCTGTATCCTCCAGATGTAATCGGCTGTGTTACCTGTAGACCAGGAATGGTTCCAAAGTTCTATACAAAAAAACAAAAAAAAATTCAATAAAAGTATTTAACCAAAAATTGTATTGAAGCATATAATTTTTATAGCTATGTCTGTGAGAGGTAATGACTGTAATACTACTACGACCACCATCTTAGAATATATATTTCCTAAATAAAACTTATCTAGATAGTTATTCTCTGGAAAACATCACATCAAAGTTATAAATTTTCAGTAGTGTGTCTGAAATGAAAGCAGGTCACATTCCCACAATATTACTGCATATTTAGGCCTAAAAAAATGTTTGTTTACCCTCCTCACCCACCCCTAATTAGGCATTTTTCGTTTTGACTACGCGGCCAGTCTACTACGAACTAATAGAGCGTAACAGACATCTGTGCATGCTCACAAACCTTACTGGCTAAATCGGCGTTAGTGACAGCTTCGGTGACAACCCCAATTTCTGAATTTGGCATAGTGGCGACTACCCTAATATTGACCAATCAGATCACCGGATTCTTTGGCAAACCGCTGTTAACTTTTTTGTTGGGGGTTGCAATTTTCATCGCATCCGCGATCGAGCATTGTTCGTTTAATAATGAATTAATTATTAAAATAAGTGAGTAATTAAATGTTTTATGAAGGCCTATTTATACACATGCGCAATAAACGAGGAATGAATAGTCACAACATAAAATTAGGTAAGGGCCGTAGGCTTAGGCTGCTAGCCTAGCCTTGTCAGGGTGGATTTCGGGTAGGAGAAAACACATTATCTGGTGCTGCCTTGACATCGTGGATCAACCTTGCTCTATAAAATTCTGTTTAAAATTGTTATTTATTTGTACATCATCGTTGCATTTGGCAAATTGCCTGAGCAGGCCTGACACCCCTCTTCTCCCGGTTAATGACTATTTTGACACTTAGGCTGGGCTGGGCTAGGCCTAGCCTAGTTTAGGTAGATCCTAGGCAACAGCGAAACATCACTCAGAGTTTTCTGGAAACTTTTTATTTTGTATACAGTATTTGACTAAAGTTTTTTTTCACATTTCCTTTTTCAAATATAAAACAAGGGAACATTGTTCTCTGGTAATAAAACCATGGTCGACTAACTCCCCCCCGTAGGCTTACGTACGTGTGCTGCGTCGTCACAGTCGCCTTAAAAAAAAAAAACAGCTCTTGGTGTAGTACGCGAACAGTGTCTTGGCGTTGCCGCCACGGTTCATTAGTTGGTAGTAGACTGGCCGCGTAGTCAAAACGAAAAATGCCTATTGAATTGAATGCCTATTGGGGTGGCAAAACAAAAAACTTTAAAAAGTTTTTTTTTTAGCTCTTTTTTTTACCAACTGAAATAAATGTGAGTGAATTGATCTATATTTTTTGCCAGATGCCCTATAACGTTGTCTAATGTCTGATTAAGATATTGCCATTCTAAGCATACATTTATTGCAAAATGTCAACTGTGGGTTATTTTTATTCCATTTCATGATTAATCTAGGGAAAAAAAACAACTTTTTCCACCTGCCCCTTTTTATCATTTAAAAAAAGAAAGGCAAAGAAGCAATTTATTTTTTTAGGCTTTATTAACAATTTTCCAGAAACAATAAACAATAAAGCATGCCATCAGCATGTAAAAAAAAGATTAACCAATGGCTCTCTCAGCATGTGTGAACCATTCATATACAAGGGCGTTATATTTACAGTAATATTTGGTTGGTATGTGTGGTCCGTGTGTCAGTAAGTGTACCAGTATTATAACTGCAATATTGTCAGAACCCCTGAAAATGGCTTATGAGAGCAACTCACCAAGATCTTCAGCATCTCCTTTGTGTCTGGGTCTACTTCAATGATATCTTGTTCTAGAGCAGACACTTCGGGTACATAGTTGTCTCTTCTCTCTCTTTCTTCCTCTTGCAGTTTAATGGAAATGCCACGTACTGGACCACGTTGGATGCGCTTCATCAAATGAGTTACAAATCTATAAAAGAAATGAGAAAAAAATTAACTAATCAATATTTAAAACAGTACATTAACAGTAGGAATAATAAAGATGGGGCTAAGCATACTTAGCACCAAACCATCTGATCGGCAGCTACACAATACAGGAAGATGAAAATGAGGAGGCAAATGACAATTAATTCAATTTGCAAGAAATACCCTTAGCACTACTTAGTGTGTGCACATTTAAGATCAGTGTAATGTAATTTGTTTTCTAGCTAGTGTGGTAAACGGGTCCATTTCTAAAATGAAATCCTTCCTAATTTGCACACGTGTAAACGATGCTCCATCTAATGTGTAACCATCTGCGGTGTCATTGTATAGTGACAAAGTACCTTACCATACCTTTTTAATTTAGCCAGTGATAACTAAAAAAGGCTGTGGCTATTGTTACACCAGGAATCCTGATGGTAGGTTATTTTTCAAATCTACTCCACATACTTACGTTAACATTCTTTATGTATCAGGAATTTGTTTTAGCCACCAATAAAAAAAACTGATTCTTCAGAACTTACCCAGCAATCTTGTTGCGCAATTTCTTGCTTGGTATAATGGCAATTTCTTCACATATTCTTTTGTTTGTGTGGAAATCAAGAGTTAACCGTGTGTAGTACTTCTCAATAATGACTCTTGCGGCCTTCTTGACCGTCTTTGTCCTTACACGACCCTGCAATAAAACATATTTGACAAAAAAATTGTAATAGGCATAGGCTATATTTAGAATAATACTGAGTGAGCTGCTGCAATATTTGCACGGAAAACGACCCATATTTTCGAACTGCTGCACAGATACACTATTTACTAAAACTGTAGGCCAAGATAGGGCCTAGGCTAGTAAAGTAGTACTCTAGCGAGTTGGCCTTATTACGGCCTTTCTTATTGTTAGCCCCCTTAATTTAGCTTTTTTAGGCTAGGCCTAGGCCTATTGTAGCCCTGATTTTGTGTGGAACCCTGCGCAGACCATATTTATTTACATTAAGTGCATTAACGCCAAATCAGCACAGGGAGTTGTTAGAGGCCTAGTGCCTTCAGTAAGTATCTCTCCTAACTTAGGCCTACAGTCTACTTTCTTAACCTTTCTTAATTGTGTCGGCTTACGAAGTGCAGGTCAACTCGGCCACAAGTCAACTCGGCCACAGTCAACTCGGCCACAAGTCAAC